ATACAAGCTTATTATTTGTCATTTTGCCTTTACATGGCATGAATTTGCCCTATGTAAGATGGGTAAGATTTGGTTATAGTCACAAAGGTTCTGTTACCTCTTTCTAGAGTCTCTCTCAGTGTTTTAATACTGCATATTACATTCATTATTTTAACTGTTACTAGCAGTCAGTGGATGATGTTTAGAGAGCAAAAGCTTGGTATCAGCTTCACCTTATGGGCAAATCCCAGTTCTAGGAGCAGAAAGGAGAATTGGAATGACTGGCTTGTTATTAATAAGCTTCAGCAGGGTTTTCTTTTTTAATCAATGGGAGATGGAATACTCCATTTCTCTGAAGTTTTTTATTGTGAAGAAATCCTGCATGAAAGATGAAATCTAGCTATCTGAATGGATTAGTTAAATTTGAACAGATGGATTTTAATAGCTGCTCAAATCACAAAATTAAATCAACTTGCTTTTCATTAAACTAGTACAGGAATTAAAATAGGCATATTAAGAAAAAACAGGTGTTTTTAATACAGATTTCTGGTTTAAAAAGCAATCAAGCTTTTCTGCTTTCAAGTATTGTAGCAGGGTTTGTCTGTCTTCGGAGGGGTTTTCACAGATTGTTTTCAGTTACTGCAAATTAGATGCCTGATAAGTGTCATTTCCGCCCTGCCCTCCAATTTAAATGGCATCAGGTAATCTGGGAGCCAGAGTTCACCCATCCTACTTAACTGGCAATTCTTCAGAGTTGCATGCTTTTGGAAAATGCACACTACTGCAAATATTTAGACAGATGAGTGGGCATGTCCTATCTATTTTCAGACCCCTCTAAGACTATGATTATTTATGTATTTTGAAGACCCCGATTCTGTTGTGTTTGCTTTTAGCTGAGCTTGAAATTGGGGGCCAGGGAATCACTAGAAAAAAAGTGTGTGAAAAATGAAGCTGACGGTAGGGGAGTAAGTTGGGAAAATAATCGTAAAGATGGCAAAAGAAATGTTCACGAAGAGTGGGTAGGAAATGGATACACACAATTTACATTGTTGCCTATCAAAGTATGAGGCACCCAAAACGCCAGTTAGTCTTTGGAAGCTGGGGTGGTTCTGTCTGCTTAATTAAGTCACTAGAATTTTGTACTACCTCCTACATAGTAGATAAGGGGGTGCAGATCAAGAGCCTGTTGTCCTGTGTGCTAATACTGCCACACAGCTAAGGAAGGAAGTTCAACCAGATGGTGTTGGCTTACATCCCTTAGGAAATAAAAACAATCTGCATTTGCCAAACAGAAGAGTTCTTGTAAACTCTGCTCCATGAAGAAGCCACGAGCAATGAAGAATGGAAAACTAAATACGTGTTTGAACAAGTCATGAAGAAGTGCTCCTTCTAGTGTGTCCTTGCATGAGAGGCTAGCATAGCTCACTGTTTACTTCTGATTACTGGGAAAATCTAGTTAGTTTTGCTTGCCATCTTTTGACATCATCTACATTCACAAGGCTTGCAATATTGGATGTAACCAGCATTGCTTTGTCTTGTGTCTGAACCTCAAACAATCATTTGCTGAACAGTGGTTACCGGCTTTTCGAACCAAAAGATAAACACTATTTGGATGGCAAATATGAACCAAAGCAGCTGAGAGATCAGCTGAATGCAAGTGGGTGAAGTACAGGCTGATAAATCTTACCTTCCCTACATATTTTTATGCTGTGTGGTGGTGCTTTGGATCTGTAGGTAAAGGCTATACCCACAAGCACTGGTTCAAAAGAGGAAGGCATTGATGGAATGTGTTTTTCGTAGGTATGGACTCTAGGAAAGTATAGAAATTCTAGATGAGACTGAGAGAAGAAACACAATTGGGACTCTGGAGTGGGAAACGAACAGAAGAGTTTTAGATCCAGACAGGTGAGAGGCTTGCCAGCCTGCCTTTATCATGACTCCAAACTGCTAAATGTGGGATGATTGGTAAAGGTCCAACCGGCTCTTGTGTGCCATGTGAATACAGCACAGCCGCATGCTCTGGAATTAGTATGGCAACCCTAGCTGCATATTCCCTTTACACAATGGAGGAAGACCAGCAGTTGGCTTTAAAACCATAGTACACAATGGCAATTACTGAGTAAAAGGTGGACATTGTGGGTGTGTTTAGGGTAGGGGGTAGAGAAGGGGAGAAGCAGATCGCTCCAGTAGAATTTAGCTTTGTCCTTCTAGTTGTTATAACATCGCAACAAAATCATGTGGCAGCTGTTCCTGGAATAATTGGTGAATTTGGTTACTAAACACACAATCTTAATTTAAAGGTTAAGATTATCTGCACTGAAAAGTTGGACTTGCCAAAGGTTTTCCTGAAAATTAGCACTTTTAACTTGCCCTCTAATATTCAGTAATGTATTCTGCCATATAGAGTGAAATAAGCTATTGGGCTTGCATAGACATGCTCAGATTCTTAAGATGATATGAAGTGATTTATGTTCATATATGAGAGAGTGAGACTGAAGCTTTGATATAAGCAGGAGGCCACAAACAGTAATATTTGCATGGACTGAAATAAATCTTGCCACAAGGAGTTAATACATTGCTGTCAGTAAGCCGCTCCTTTTTCAGCTGAGATTTGGTCTCTTGGTGCATGCAGAATTTAAATGCTATACAGTAGTCATACACAATCTGTGGCCCGTGGGCCAGATATGGCATGCTGAATTGTGTACTGGACCCATGTGGTTCCCCACAAGTCCAGAAATTTGGTGGTGGAGTGGTAGCAGCTTTAATTGCTTCCAAAACCAGATCCAGGGTGTTGGGGCACACCAGTGCGTTGGCACCTGCTGGATCAGGCCCATGGACTGGCCCTGAACCATTTCTCCAGCCCAGCAGACCAGATAGTTTGAGCATCACTGCTGTAGAGCATCCCCACTATTTCCCCCCTACATGCATCAAAAGTCTTTAATATGGTAAAAGTAGTTCCTTTCTTGGGGACAATTGTGATGCAAAAAAATCAGTGTACACCCTAATGCTGAATGGCTTGGGGTTTTAAATAAAGGTATCTTTTTGGAAAATCCTACTCTTTACTGAAGCCGTAGTCAGGGAGACCAAACAAGAAAAATAAACATTTTGTAATAAATAGATGCCTTCCAAACCAGTAGTTCACTGAGCTTTATGAAAGATCTTAACTAAAGCCATCCTTATCTTGCTATAGTCATCTCAGACCTGTTCTTCTCACAATAAAATATCAAAACATTGTATAATTGTGCCTAAGTGGTAATATGAAAATATAAAAGCAGAGTGGAAAAATAAACAGATTTTTATGCAGTGATTATCTGTTTGAAAAGTTTGCAGAATAGTTTGCTGCAACACATAATTAACATACTGTAATTACTGATTTTTTTTTCAAGGTACGTCAAGACTGAGGAATTTTCTTTCTTCAGCTGTTTATGCTGGTAACTTTAACACTGCATCTCTCACACACACACACACACACACACACACACACACACACACACACACACACACACACACACACACACACACACACACTCACTCTTGCTCGCTCGCTCGCTCTCTCTCTCTCCCTCCCCCCCCCCCCCCCCCCAAAGTACTGTTTAAAATATTTGTTATTTGAGCATCTTAAAAATACCATACTTTTTCCCTTTTCTTTTTATACCTTACTGGGTGTATAGATCTTCACACATTGTCATGTAATTTTGTGAGACAGTGCGAGTAATGCTTGCTGTTTCTGGATAAAAAAATTGGTTTGCAAGGAGTAATTGTTCTTTTAAAAACTGTATACCATCTTAAATTTGTCTCATATTGATCAAGTAGAAAATGAAACCTCTTCTAGGAAGCTCCTTTATAATTATACTCTTAACACCTTGGCAATTCAAAAAATTAATGCCTTTTACTAACTAACACAAAATTGGAAAATGTGGAGCTTTCAGAAGAATAGGACAAGAAAAGACTCGTATTGCAAGGGCTAATTCTGTCTCCAGAGAAACCAGTCGCATTAGTGCATGAAAATAGCTTCCAGGCAGGATGAAGCATCAGCTAGGGGAGGAGGAAAGGAGAGGCTTCTTCTCTCCCTGGCCCCTTTTTGCCCCACAATTGATATTTACTTTAATTAAAACTTGCATTTAGGCTATTTACATGCAAGAAGCTGTTAAAACATTGTTCATTCCTAGTCCTAAGTAATTTTCTTCAATTCATGAAAAGCTATGCCCATTATAAAGTCAAACCAGAGATGTAATGAGAGTGGAACACTTTTAATATTTTGTTGATTGCATTGTATTGAGCCTTTCTAAATAAGCAGTGTTGGATACTCTGTAGGCATTTGAAGTGTGGTTCTAGTCGATTTGTAACCTGCTCCATTATGAATTTTGTCATGATCTTTAGCAAAGGTATATTTAGGCAAGCTGGACTGTCAATATGGAGGTAGGAAAACATTACTTAAAACCAATTCACCAGCATCTGAAACATTTGAAATTCCTTTCCCACACCTCCTGCAATTAACTGATTTGTATATTTAAGAGTCAAATTATTACACAAGTAAAATGTTCCTCCTAGTGTACCTTAGAGTAAACTGAGCCAGCTGGAATGTTTGGGATCAAGTAACTACAATGGAACAAATGTAATGCATGTTCCCTTGCAGATCTCTGAACATGTTCCTTTCATTCAGACTGTTTTCATTAGAAAAAGTAGAATATGGAGACTTCAGTATAAATGTTTACACATAGTCATATAATTACATAACATGAAACATCTTACATATCTTGAGGTGAGCATCTTTTTAGACTTTCAAACATTAGGAGTGCAAATTTAATGTAATCATTGCTTCTTTAACACTGAAAATATTATGGGTTTATTTTTAAAAAAAACTTAAAAATACTGCACCACTCCATAAACAATGTTTCCATTAAGTAGTTTGGAAAATTAGGCTTTATGTCAGCATTTGTAAAAATTAGAATTTTATGTAGGTCCCCTACAATTTTAAAATAGGTTACTTATCTGGTTTAATTTTTGATGACTTGTAGATATTATACTTCACATTCTTTGTATGGCAGCTGCTGACATTTGCACTGTCCATAACCATTAATGATGATGAAGGGTCCCTCATGGGTGGGTTCATATTCATTATATGGTCCTTGGTCTGACATGTTTGACATATGTAGCCTTGTTTGGGATCGGAGTTGCCTGTGGTTTTGAATCATTGAACACTGCCTAATTCTTCTTAATGTGGGAGGGCAGCATTTCCTGGAGATGAACACTATAAAAATGATAAAAAAGAAAGAAAATAATAAAGCCATTGTTCCTGTAATTACCCGCTGAGTGAAGATGGCATTGTTTGGTTCAGGGAAATTTTCTTCAGTGGTAGTGATCATGCCTGCAGTAGTTGGAATTTCTTTGTCTCCCACATGGAAATTAGATGAGCTTATTCTTTTTGTATACTCTGTTGTTGGAACTCTGTAAGTCGTAGCCATGGATGTAACAATAGTTGATAAATTCCAGCAAAGCTGAAAGCCATAAACTGCATCTAGAATATCCTCTCCCTGGGTGTGGTCTGGGCTGTGGCAGAGTATGGAGTGCTCCCACCGACCTTGGAAACCACTCAACCATGTGGCTAATGCACATATCTTTGGGCTGCATTCCCACAGATTGCCGGATAGGCCCACTGTAGTTACAGATGTAAGTGAATTTAAGATCTTGGAATCCAGAGTGGTTAGCTTGTTGTTATCCATTAGGAGTATTTTAAGATTAGGCATGGTTTCAAAAACTGTCAAATCGATGGCTTTGATTTCATTTCCAGTCAAATCTAGCTTTTCTAAGGTGCCCCAGGTCCACTCCATCCCACATGTCAAGTTGCTAATTTTGTTCCACTGCAAGAAGAGCGTGTGCAGACTGCTTAGCCGCAGGAAATGAGCAAAATTAATCTTTGTCAGCTGGTTGTGCTCTAGGTGAAGCTCCCTCAATTTGATTAATCCTGCAAATCCATTGCGAGCCAAACTTCGCAAGCGATTTGTGCTCAAATCCAGAAACTCCAAACTACGACAGTCCCAGAAAAGGCGGACTGGGATAGTCCGCAGGGAGTTGGAACGTAAATGCAAGGTTTGCAGTTTACGAAGGCCATAGAACAACTCGGGATGCAGAGAAGATAACTGATTAAAAGAGAGGTCCAAATTTTGCAGGTTAAGCAGTTGGTTAAAAGTTGTGTTTGGCAAGTGAAAGATTTTGTTGGAATTTAGGATTAATTCCTTAAGTTTATACAGTCCTTGAAAAGAATCTTCTCTTACTGTTGAAATTTGATTATGATCTAAGTGAAGCCAAGTAAGTTGACTGAAGCTTGCAAATTGATCCCTTTCAAGTTCAGAAATATAATTGTGCCTCAGTGACAAACCTAGAGAGCCCTTTTCAGTGGTGTTTGGCACTGAGTGAAACCCCTGAGAGTCACAGTAAAAGAGCAGCTTCTCACAGCGACATTTTGGTGGACATGCCATGCCCAAGGCAGGCAGCATTTTTAAAACCATACTCATTGCATATAGTGCTGCCAGCATAGGAGCCCCTAATGGCCACTTGAAATGTAAGCCTGCAGAATATAATTTAGGGAAACAACAAGATAGGATATTCTTGTCAGATAATGTACACTTACAACATTACGGTGAAAGATTTCACTGCAGATAACATTTTCATGCATTTTTGAAAAGCTAATTCTAAATGTAAGAACTAACTACTAAATACCGAGTACTTGGTTGTTATCCTTGAGAGAGATCTTTATCTACCTTACCAAAGATTACAAAGGTGACAATCTGAAAATACCTTTACCTTTAGAGGGTTCAGTTCTGAAACTATATATAGTTTTAATATCTAGGTGGTTTTTCTAAATCATAGCTGTTCATTCTTCATATGGAATATATATAAACGTATAAACTTACCCATTCTTTTGAGTACATTGGAGGTTGCATTCAGTCGTAGTTTTAGACTCAACGCAGTGAGTCTGTAAAAGGCTCTAATGTAAGAGACAGCCTTTGAATAATTTACTGTTTTCTAGTGTCCTTCGATATTAGTGCAAAAATGAATCCACCATGCTCTCTTTAAAATATTCCTTTTGAATTTGCTGGCTTGATTTCCTGTGACAGGTCTGTAATTCAATGCTTAATATAAGTTTTTCCTCCTGTGACTGCTCAGCTGTTTAATTGAAGCTCACGTTTTCTTTTTCCGCAGCTGTGGGTTCTTTTAGTCCTAACTTGTTGATGGCAGATGGGCGGCTTATTGCTGAGAGAAGCTCCGGTAGTAGCATGAGTGCATTTACTGAAAAGCTTTTCAGGGAAACGGTACAAGAATGGGTTTGCTTATGTGCTGCGACCACACAGAACTGTATATAGGCTGACGTCACCCAGTGACGTTCCTTTTGTTTGGGTTTTCCAGAAGCTTTGCTGTTTTAAAGCATTGTGATGCATGCTGTGATCGTGTTAAAGACTACTGATAGAGGAAAAATCAACTACAGGAACACTTCGCCCCAACCATTCAAGGAATAGGAACAGCTCGTAATCAATTTTTTCTGCATTAGATCTTTGTTAGATGTATTCAGACAACATCAAAAAATAGTGTTCAGCTATAAGAGTGAAGTGTCTTCAATGCTATCTGCCACCAGTTTTATATTGTATTTTTCTGCACACAAAAAAAACTTTAAGGCATGACTACATACAGTTTGAATAGTAATCCTAGACTGCTGATTAGTATTCAAGGAGGTGAAAGAGACTGGCCAGTTTAAAGCTGTATGCCGCTATATTCTTTCCTTGTCTTAGAAATGTGATTTTCATTAAAGTGCAGAAATGTGATTTCTGTAGATGCTGCAGATATATTGTGGAAGCATAGTGAAGCTGTTCATATGGCCACATAACGAAATTATGCTCTCTGGGGGAAAAAAATAAATCTTATGTTTGTATAGGAACATAAGAGGACATATCCTTAAATGTCCAGTTAGATCTCTCCCTGGCTTCAAAATTACACTTCACATTTGGGTGGAGGAGGGGACTGCGAGTCGTCTTCCCCCCCATGTTTTGTTTTGCCATTGAAGTGGGTGGATGTGGTTCTCAAGTCTGATGTGAGGTCAAATGAGGTATCTAAGGGTTACTTTTTGTCACCAACTTCTGTTCATAGTAAAAAGCACACACTAGTGGGTTCACTAGGAACTTGTTTTAAAGAAAACCTTGAACAGAATAATAGGAGTGTTACATGTTTTGAATGAAGATGATTGATGGACTGGTGCATGCAGAAAGCTTGCAGAGCTCTCTGTTTGCACTGTTCCTGACTTAGGTGTCAGGAGCATACCCACTCAACCATATTTAGCAAGGATGTACTTGTGGAACTTTTTATCATTTCATTAGCCACTGAGAGCACAACAAAATGCGCTTTTCCATAATGACTCATGGTAAGGATAAATTGATAGACTTTGTCTGGTCTGGAGTGACTTTGTAGGGCTGCTGTGGCCTTATTAATGGAAGCAAAGTTGTCTAACTTCCCACTTCTGTTTGCTTGAATACACTTTTTTCCGCCCCCCCTCCCAACCCTGGGACTTGAAGCTATGGTACAACAAGAGGAAATTCATCTCTTCCCACAAAATATTTTACTGTATTTAAAAAAGAAAAACAATGGCATGAAATTGGTTTTGGTGCATAGATCCTGGGTCTGAAAACCTTAAAACTAATGTAACCCCATTTTATGAGATTGAGGGGGGGTTGGATAAGGAAGACCTGTCTAATACCCTGGTTTAAGAAAAAAGATATTTTCTGGTCTGTGTTAATACCTTTCTGAAGTAGTTTTGGTTAAACAAAGATTTGCTGCTTTTCTACCTGCTTCTTCATTCTGTCTGATCCTTCAGTGACGTTGTAATACTGTCCCTGATCCATCATTTCTCTGGCAGCCTAATTTATACTAAATGGAGAGGTGAATTCACTGACATGTCAAGTAGAAGCTGGACTGTGAGGAAGAACCATAAAACATAATCTTCAGAGATAAAGGAAACTAAATCATACTGCCTTGAAAATATTACATTTTAAGCTATTGTTTGTTTTAGGCTGAAAGCATTAGTTACAAACAGATCATACAAGCCTGTTTAGAAATGGTGATCTCCATGTTCAGTATTTACTGAACAAGAAGTATACCAGACAATACCCAGCTTAAGAGCTTAATTGCTCTTTATCTTAAGGGACCCCACTACACATGATAATATGACTAGTCAGATAAAGAAAAAGAAATTATTTTTTGAAATGCGTAATTTGTAATTTAACAGAAATGCAAGCTAAGAAGTGTGGTATTCTGTGTTTTAATAGCACTGAATAGTAAAGATGTTTTGATACTGTGTTGCTCTTCTGTCTGTTGATGGCAGCTACCCAAACCTGAAAACCCTTTTAGAGCAATTGTGCTACTTTTCTAATCAGTATTGTGTGGCTAATGGTACCAGTTTATGGTATTCATATGTGAAGTTACTCTAATGTTGGAAGAGTTACCGTCCAAATGCAGCAAAGTCGCTTCCTGTTTCTGTGCAGAGCACGTTGCTCCTGTGCCAGCTGGTGGCGAGTGTTTAACACCTTGCACGTTAGTGAATGGAGTGTTAATGGATTTGTGGATTTTAATTAAACTGGATTTGTTTCCCCTTGCACCATTCGTGGATTGGAGATGGTCATATAGCGTACATACAGGCCTTCCTGAAAGAATTGAAGCCCATGCACCAATGTCAAGTTTCCAGCTTTGTCTTAACTAGGTAGGAACTATAGGCAAAGAAGGAACTCCAGCTGTTTGCACAACTAACAATACAGCATTTATTTTGAGATTTGAAAACTTGCATGTTAAGAAGAAACATTGTAAGGCTATGTTTAACAGTACCATTTGGAACTTCTGCACGTGAAGTTGAAACTAAAATGGTCTGTGATGGAATAGCACTTCTGTCTGTGTAAGTGGCAAAACTAGTAATACCAGCAATTCTCCCCTGAACTTCTTGAACCAGTATCTTTTTTGTTTCCAAGAACTAGATTTGGTAGTTAAAGGTACTCATCAGAAAAAGAAAGTGCTGAGGTTAACATTGCCATCTAGTTATGCTGACATCTTGTGGAAGCCTTCCTAATATAATAAGAAGAGCTATAGATTTCACTTGAGGCATTTTCTCAGCTGGGTGACTTTTTGTATGTTCAGCTTCTGGGGAGACTTACCTTGCTGTGTCAAGGTAGGGCACAGTGATTGTACTCAAATATATGTCATGATGTTATTAGACAGAACAGAAATATTCTGTCAGATGACTACGCTAATTTTTAATACACACTGACACTTCAGAGTAGTATAAAAATATTAGCTGCTGTTTTTTGCTAAAACTAAGGCAAGAATCTCTTGCTTGATTGCTGTAACTAAGGCAAAGAAAACTAGCACAAATGTGGTAAAAGTATGGAGGCTGGCTGTAGTATTACTGTGCACATGCTACTGCTTAAGTGTACTACAGTGAAACCATAGTAGTGATAAGTCCCTTTAAAAGGAAAGGGAGAACAGGTATGTGTAACCCCCCTGAGTAAGTTAATGCATGATTCAATGGCAGTGAACAAATGTATCAGGTTCCAGACTCTTTGGGTTGCATACAGGGGTTATTCAAATACAGCGGGTGGGAGTGAGGAGGTGATGGAGAGGCTTCATAAATTGTTTTGATTTGGCTGGCTTCCATGACTTTTTTGGGGGGAAGAAAAACAAAGTTGGCTGTAGCACAAGGAATTCTCAATCACCTGCTCTTTTAACCTTCTGCTTTACCTGGCAAAAAGCTGCAGATTTTAATCCGTTCCATAAGGTACTAACTCCACCAAAATAAGCAGGGTATGCCTCCCTTGGTACTGCACCTGGGGGAAGATAAAGCAATTAGGACTAAACTCATAAAAATGTGGGGGGGTAACATTTGGGACTGAATATGAGTACCATTGTGAGACTTTGAGAAATCTGAACAAGAGGCAAGGAGCAATTATTTTTAAGCTAGGTTCCTTGCAGTTAACTTGCAGTAAAATTTGGAGGCATACGCCTCTACAGAATCACTGGATCCCAGATTTGAAAATACTGTTGGAATTCTTATCATCGCTTTTCCTGCCCCACCATGAATCCATCCAGTGGTGCTGCTTATTGTCAAATTTGCCATCAGTCAGCCTATAAGAGTGAGTGAGTAGAAGGTCGTCCTTTTTAGTAAAGAAAGAGGTAAGGAAAGTGCAAAGTAAGATGTTCTAACACTGAGAGAAGTGTTGGAGTGACAAACCAGTACCCGAGTGCTAACTTTCTCCATTGTGGGCTGGCCAAGAGGAAGGCATCTCAAGCACAAGAGAACCTGACTACTTCGTTAATTGAGACATTCCTTGCAGACTACCTGAGTTTGCTTACTTTGCAAACACTCTCCTAAAACAAAAAAGCCCTTTCACAAATATACTCCATTAAATACAGTTCTGGTTCAGTTAGCTGATATTTCAGTCTACAACTCAAAATATTTATAAAAGCAATGTTATCTTGGTAATAAGAATTTTCATTACAGATCTGCTATTAAGGTTCAGAAAGGAGGTGAAGGTTTTTGAGTTTGCACATAAGTGAACTTCTGTTGAGAAATTTCTGTTTTTCAAAACTGTATCCATCCTTGTTTTACATGGGAATTCTCTGCTAAAGCAAAATGCAGTAGGTTTCTGGGTATTGGTGCATGTTGCTAATCCTTGGGTTTTTTTAAAGGACTTGACAGCCATTCATTATCAATTCTACTTTTTCTTCTACATTTCCAGAATATAGACCTCATAGTATTTAAAAAATTGTGAAATAGTAAGCTTTAAAAATGATGCGTTTTATTCAAATGGAAGAGCTAAAAAAAAAAAAAGAGAGGAAAAAATGTTTTGTAATTGACAAAAATGGATGACTCCTCCAACCGTACC